ATTGTGAACGGAGCTTAAGGGCTTTGAACGTATAAAAAGAAACAGGGCTCGTAAACCTACCGAAATTGTATATCACGAATTGTCCGTTCGCTCAATTATTCGACAGCTGAAGCACAAAATCAATGTCTTTTTTACAGAGGCCATGCTCTTATGGGTTACAATATAAAGGAGGCCCCCCCGATTTTTATTAAACAACTAATCAGTCGTCGCGAGTTTTAGCTTTTTTATGGCTACTAGGATCACTCCTGACCCAACCTAACCTGAAAATTCAATTAACCAATCTAAAGCGTACTACGTCTCTGGACGGATATAAGTAATCACGTTCGAAGGAAATTGTCTATTAGAACTTCTCTTGGCCGTTGAGTCTGCACAACTTTTTCTGACTTTCACTTTAGTCCAATTTCCTGAATGTCGGTCCCATTTGATTCATGGTCAATAGTCAATACAATCTTGATCCTATTATCACTCATTGCTCAGACCCGTATTGTTTGCTCGCATTAGGTACTTTTTTCAGTGATTTACGAACACGAAAATCTAGGAATTTCATACGTTTACTTGTTATATGATTCGAAGTAAAGGACGATTTGTCATTTGCCAGATCATTTTGTCTTAACAAATTCTCGCTTATCTACCACCTAATGACCTCTATAAATCTGGCTTTAAAGAGGCTCCAGGTACGCAATTAACTCTGCTTACTCTTGACAGTTGACATCCTGGCAATCCTACGAATAGCGACTTAAATTAGCTATTTTGACTAAAGATACTTGTGCAAACTGACCTTGGTCAAAATTACTTTATTTTCTTCAAATTTTTCACACTGCTTTTTGAGAAGATAAGGTTATCTCGATTTATCTTGATCTACAGTCCAATTGACCGACTCGTATCTTGTTGACGGCAGTAGAAAAAAATCAAACGCCGATAGTGGTCCAGACACCATCCAACAGTGGCGCTGTCATACCAATCGAAGACCCAGTTCTTGTGAGGGCACCTTTACGTTCCATCCGATTCATTTGCCTCGCTCCATTTTCATGAAATTATAGTTATTCAGTTTTCCTTCCTCATTCAAATTTTTCTTCAGCCACTTTTTTTCCTCGGCGCACAAATTATTTTATTCATTAATTCCAATTAACGTTATTTACGTCGCACTGCGATTACTCCTTGGGTAACTTATATTTCCTCATTTATCTCAAGAAACTTGCTACGCCATCTTACTCAATGTCGCCTCGTAAATTTCCAAACTTCTCAACTTCTAATAACACCTTCCTCCTTCACATTCAATTTTTATTCATTATTATTCCATACCTTTATAGAAACAAGAGATTCCCATCCAAACCACCAATTCGAATAGCCGACAGTAGTACAAAACTCTCGCTCCCAGTCTTCATCAGGATGAACTGGCTCCGAGCTCCCCAGAAATATCGGCATACAATTGTTTCTGTTGGAAACAGTTTCGTCCGGCTGTCACGAAACTGTAGTACGATGCTAGCGCCACGGCTGGGCCGTGGCGACCAATGGCAGTGGCAGTGCGCCGCTTAATTTTCACGTTCGACGGTTAAACTCAGCAGTCCGTTAGCTTTCGTCGGGCTAAATTTTATTTTTATTTCCCAAATGCTCGTTTGGGGGGTCGTGCGATTGTTATTTTTTCTGGTCAGCGTTCATGTAAATTCCCTCGGGTATATACTACACTAATATATATATATACACATATAGGTACACGTGTATCTCATTCTGTTCACGGACCGCGACTGACGCGCCCTCTACACTCCAGAATCAAACGAGTTAATGTTAGCGTTCCTTAATCTATTTTTTTTTACGAGTTACATTCAATTCCAGGAGTAAAGAATATTTTTTTTACAACATATCAAAATTAATCAAATCCACATCAAGCACCTGCGTGGCTTTGCATAAAATTTATGTTAGAATATATACATGTATAATTACGCTTTTACCATATATTCCGGTGATTTTGCGAAAAACCACGTACCAAGGATTTTCTTTTTATTTAGTAAAACAAAAAACCGTTTTATTCATAGATTTCAATATATCCATTTTGTCCTATTTTTGTCTCTTTATTTTAGGGCAGTACTATATGCGACTCTCTTCAACCCTAACTTGATCGTTGATCCGATTCATAGCTACAAAACTACCCTTACAGCAGCCGACCTTTTTTATACCAGCGGAAGTACCACCCCTAGGGTATATCCAGGTTGGCATAAAGTCGCCTAAAAAATAATGTCATAAAACCGTCTATGGAAGAATTCTCAATTTAGTTTTAATGGTCGGACAATTCAATTTCGACAGTGAATATAAATACCGACATTCAAACCGACAGTTGGACAAGAACGAGTACCAGGTCCTTCACGAAATGTGGGCGATGAATCCAATTCCCTCAGATCCACCCCTTAGCGTCACATTTCGTCGTCCCTTCACAGACCAGTCGTGCCACTTGAATAAACGAAAACGCGCGTCTCCGTCGAAATGCCTCAATTAAGCTTTAATTGACGGGCAATTCCACACGGAGAAGTTCAATGGTAAATATCGACCCCTCGTGATACCTTGTGAACCCCCCTCCTGCCGCTCTATATCACCTTCTGGGAATGATGACAGGTGTGAGAATCGGCGCCAGTCTCATTTACGATATCATCCAATCGATTTCGACTTAGCCGAATTCAAGCGTGTGTGTATACATATATATGTATAACATAAAAAGTATTAAGGTACAATCTGAAACAAAAATTTTGGTTAAATATTAACATTACAATATAAAATATATGTAGGTACTACAATTTTTAGCAACATACTATGCAGATATACAGTAAATTCAGATAAGAAATTCGGGATTGCCTAAGATTTTTGTATTTTCCGGGAGTGCGAGAGAGACAGTCTTATGGACACTTACACGGGTAAGAGAAAGACACGCATATTATTTCTAAAAATCGGACGAACCGTTTAAAAATGATGGCCAATCGAACGCATGGAATAACCAAGAAATACCAGTGATCTTTCACAAACACGATACGCGTTCGTCTTTAATCGTTACAAATGGCGAATGGTTCGAGATATCGAGCCGATACGGATTGCAAAAATGCAAAAAAAAACGGACTGCCAGGATCCTCCGGTGCATATAAGCTAGACAGACCCGGTGGTTATATCGTCTGAACTCACCGCAGCTAAATTGTCGTTTTGCGGTCGGACATTCCTGAGGGCGCGTGATTAACGCTAGATCCGGAAACTACAATTCCAGACCGCCTTGGCCACCGCCTGGAGGTTCCTTTGGAGGTGCCGAGTGAAGCCGCAGGAATGTCGATCGGTCGACACCTACAGGATCACAAGCAGGGATATTCGCTCCTGAGGTTGGCATGGTCTATTACGTTACCCAGTACCGGGGATTGGTAGAGTGAAAGACGATTTCCAAAATGTTCCAGAATTCGCTAGAACCTTCCTGATAAGAGAACGTGAATCCTCATAAGCATTGGAGTCCACCTGATGGTTCTTCCATTTATATAAAAAATATCCCTTAGTGCCTATCCCGACCCCACCGCACGCATTGGTCAAGTCCTAACCTTTATGGATAACCTGTACCCTCTCCCAGGGGATGGTCGACGTAGTACCTGGGGCATTGACGAATCGGTCGTTTGAAATTTAAAAAGTTCCTCCCTAGCCGTAGAAACTTTCTCATCCGTCTGATTAATCATACTCGAAAGCTACTTGGCACATCCATTACCCTTACCTACCACGAAGACGGCGTCCGAGGGGGTGCCTTCTTACCTCCTCACTCTGAGCTTGCTCCTTGGCCAGATCCGTAGGAACAAACGGATCCGCCTTTAATCGTCAATGAAACTCGAGTTTCTAGTGACCGAGGGTACGTTCTCTTCGTTTTTTTTTTCTCTTCCAAAGAGGAAACCCTTTCCGTACCCTAACCGGAAGTTTGCTGCAGATCCACTCGTACAGATTTTCAACCCTCGACTTCAAGGGTGCCATTCGCCAATACAAATTAGTATTTTTTACCCTCTCAAGACCTACCCTGATACTCGTATACCCTGTGGCATCTTATTCACTAGCGAATCTCTCACTAGACTCCTACCTCCTTCGTCCTATTTCGCCCCCAGCACGATCATAGGATGGAAGGCCCATCTATAAGATGAGCATTTGCGCCTACGCGTCCTATAAATTTTCTGTCCAAAAGGAAGGCGACGCCTTATTGGAAAGGCACTGGACTCTTTATTACCCCATCTTGTGAACGAGACCAAACATTTTTAGCTTGTGTTCAAATATTTTGCCACCAGGCCATTCACATCGCGTAGACAGTCTTTTCTATACTTCTCATATAGTAGCCCAGGATAAGAACCCTTAGGTCCGATAGAAGCAGTAGCGGCACACTTCCTCCGTGACCCTGTCCCTCGACCGACCCCCATCCTGACCGGCAGTCTAACCCGGCGTCCTGCAAAGAACGTGTATACTCGGCTGGTACAGTCCAGAAGCAAATTTCTCTTTCCAGGTCCTCCATCGTCACTCGATTATTCAGTTAGTCAGTGCCCATCCTCCTCGTCTCTTGGATATGGCTGATGAGAGGAAGTCTCGTAGTTCGCTAGGAGGGACCGAGTGGTCCAGGGAATTGAATTAAAAAAGTTTCCCCGAAGACTGAACCCCCTGAAGGTATCCCTCCCACCCTTCTATTCCGACCCCCCCTCGTTACCCTCTCGACTCTAAAAGAATCCTCACTGACTTTTCTATCAGGCGCCCATTGACTCCTTTTCGACTCTTCACTCTTCTTACATAGTCCTCCTTTCATACCCCATGTACTTTTCATCTCCGTTACTTGGAAAAAAAAAATGAAGAATTGCGTCAGAGTATCCGATTTCAATCCGGCATAAACTTAACCTAACTTAGAGTACTTTAGAAAAAAGTCTACTTGTTTGTAGTCATTTTGTGAAATTTATCAGTTTCCATATTGATATTAAAGTTTTATTGTAGCTGTATACAGTGTTCTGATAATAGTCTCGAGTCCTTCAGGCATCATCAGTTTAGTGATTAAATTGTCAAGGTAACAACGATAGGCGGATATGAGGGACGGTATCGCCACGTGCGGGAAAACTTGTACCATACCCTCAGTATCATAGCAGCTGTCTAATGGCATAATTGAGATAGGGTGGGTGAAGGGGGTTCGAGAAGAGTCAAATTGGGGTACTATCAGGCCTTGTCTGTTCCAAGGTAAAAGGTCGTTCATGGTTTGGAAATGCAGTCGATTGGTAAGGATGAATCGTCTGACCAATCGAATTAGTCGCACTTGTCTGCAAGTCGGTGATTTGTCCGTAGTAATTAATTGGACGACCATCTTGAAGTCTTTGCATGGACCGAGGCAGCTTGCGAATTACCCTGGGGTCTCTGAAACGACGTTAACGTTGGTAAGACGATGGGACTTGGTTTACAGTTTGAAGCAGTGCCCTATAGATCCGTCGATACGAGCGTACTAAGTTATAACGGAACCCTGTGGGTAACCCCCTAGAATCCAGGAAGCCTAGATCTCAGGGAGTCAGGTACCCAGAAAACACTTAGCTACTCTGTATGGTTGAAAATTAGTCCGCACTCGGGTGAGAGGCGCTATCGTCGAAAGCTCGATTATTTCCTCCAATCCAATTAGCAAGACGATAAAAGGCGAGGAAGGTGTCGTCGAAGTAATTAATCTTCGTTCCTGGACCACCCCGTTCTAATCGCGTAATAACCCAACGCCGTCATCTTAACTCGCTCTGGTAGCTACGAGCGAATAAATCAAATAGTCTCGCGCGGATTTATGCGATCCGCGCGCTGTCTTTCGGCGAGGTTTGACACTAGTTGAAATTCGGGGATTCCCCTTTACTTGCGATTCTCCTTACTCACGCTCAGGGTCGCTTGGATGAACGTGCGTTCGTTTGACAGGTCCAATAGTAACAAGTTTAGACGTTGCACTTTTGTACGTCACAGGACTTGAGCGTCGCGACGCCCTTAATATACATTATAGAGCTTAATGCTATTAGCGTTAAGAATAATTCTGTTTACAGGAATAGTTTTCGATCCAACGTCGGATAAATTAAATAGAAAAGAGTACAGAGGTATAAGTGTAATAAGAATTAATGAGCAAAAAGTACCGTGGGAATTGCCGTGAAAAATGCAAATTCAATTAAGTCGCTTAAACAGTGCGAGCAGACGCCGAGCGTCGACGGCGTCCCGAGAGCTTCATGTTTCTTGGCGTCCAGCAACAATTTTCGTGCAGCACGCTTCGGCGACGACGCCACGTTTTCATCGGGCTTTCTCACGAATTTTGTATAATTGCATTCGTGCCTCCAGTGCTGCCAGTTTGTAAATGCGTGAAAACCCGAAAGATCTGGCATCCTGGCTGTGCCAGTCTTTTGCCGTTTGGATCCTCAGCTTCTTATTTCATCGCGTGCTATTCCTCCATCCCTTGCAAAAAGCGCCCCCTAACCTCTAACCGTTGTGCCAGCACTGCAACTCGCTCGGTATAGTCGACACTGCAGTCTGAATACCTAAAAGAGTCGCGAAAACCCTCTTTGAATTGTAAAACAAATGCAATACAAAACTCGCGCGCAAAAGCTGCTTCCCACGTCTCTGCAGCTCGTATCTATGTACATTCTGTCCGTTGAAATAGGAATGGAAGGAGTAACCATTTTATTTTCTTTGCTCCCTCCTGCACTCTCTCTCTCTCTTCATTCTTCTTCACTTATTTTTTCTCCCTTTCAATTCCGCCTTCATTCCTCCTTATTAACTTTCTTAAATTTCCTTTACTACCCTTCTTCAACGCTTTATGTCACCTTTGTACAGTTTTTCTTTCCAACAATTACACTCTAACCGTACCACGGAATATTCTCTTGATCTTCGACTCTCTTGCTCTATTTTTTTGGAACTTTTTTTTGTTATCGTGTTAGTCTTCATTATTCTCTTTCTGTTTTTACTAAGATCCTTTCCGGACCATCATCCACCTTCGTGTCAAGGCCCCATTAAGGTTCAGCCACATCAGAAACCAACCAGTCCTAACTTGGTATTTCCCACGCGGCAGCCTCTCAGCACTTCCTGAAACAGTATCCACATGTGAGTCCATGTGTGGACATTACTTGTTGAACCGCTCTCGCCTTTCAACCCCTCAACGTCGTAATTAGACTCAATTAAATAGGTCTCACCCTACTTGGAATGAAATTATGGATCGTGTGGTAAGCATGGACCTTCATCCATTTGTATTACTACTCAGACTCGTTGTGTCCTAACCAACGACCTCACGGCCACTTCAGAAAGTGGAGGATGCTGGACGATCACCCGGGATCTGCAATTTGATAAGTTGATACTTGATTCGTTGCAGAAAATTTTACTATCAATACAAGATTACCTATTTTCATCATCAGTCACTCCACCTACCATGGTCATCATCCTCATCGACATTTACTAGGATCATTAGCAACCTCAGAGATCAGCTTCATCATCCGCATCCTTGCGCCCCTTGAGCCAACTCCGTATCCAGTTACCCAGAACGTTATCCCTTCCTAAATCTGCTTCTTGGACTCCGTCAACCTTAATGTACCCAACCTCTGCGACGACCTCGGGAACCTCGACGTCATCATCGACCTCGACATAGATTTCCTAGCAATTACGTAGGTATACGTCATTACCAGCAGCTTCTGGCCCACCAGACCCTGGATCCGACCCCCAGCATCTCATCTCCGATAGGTCGCATTCGGTTCACGAAATGTCAGGAATCAGGATGCTCTTCTCCTGGAATATCTGGAAAACGGAGGCGGTGGATGCCATCGTGTCAAACATATGCAAAATGCATGGAAACGTGAGTTGCGTAACAGCTAGTGCCACAATGCATTTATGCAGATAGCATTCTATAAAATCGAACTCAGACCCGATAGGCTATACGGGGTGTTCCGTAAATTCAGGTTCACATATAATTTTACCTCCGCACAATATTCACTGTCCAGGACGCTGATGAAACTCTTTCTCGTCGTCCTTCCACTATTCCCACGCCATGCCGTTCTTCTTTTCTAAATATTGGAGTTGCCCGTTCTGGCATGAAAGAAAATGTCTGCCAACTTTCTTCGATTCTCCGTCCAGTTCCTTTTATTTTTTTTTTCATTCATTTTATAGTTTTCCTTTTCTTTTTTTTTTACTCTCCAGTCCACTAACCTCTTAAGGCGCACTGAAGGTTTTACCTCCTCGGTCGACATCGTCAGGTACGGGAACTCACGTTCTTCCTTATTCCTTTGACATTCGGCTTTTCGACAAATACGTCAACAATGGCGAACAATGTCTCCTGGTGGTCGTGACAGATTCTGATGACTGTAAAATGCCCGTGGTCTGGTAAATTCACGGAAATTGAGACATAAATTTTTTATTATCATAACTGTGCTTACTTGATCATCCAAAGGTCAGAGACCACGAAATTTCTTACTTGGGATACAATTTCCGGAAGTGGACGGTCGTAACTTTTTGATAAGAAGGTCATTCTCGTGACGATGGATTGTCTGAAAGGTATACCGTACGGATGTTACGTAGGGTAAAATTTTGGTTTTGTTAAATTCGAAAATAATTTTCTTACCGACCGACCCTCCTTGAGAACGGACGATGAATTCCTGAAGAATTTCAGAATTTATTTGTCGACTGGTCGTTTCCAATTTCGTTTCAGTCGGTATTGCAGATTCCGTAAATTCCAAAAGCTCGTCTTTTCGCTCGAGGCTCCTCGAGAAACATGAAATCCTTGAAGTCCTTTCTTATATATATTTTTCAGTAATCCTCCTCGGCATTGCTTTTCGTTCCTCGGCATCCGGTTTAATTATTTTTCAAGTGGCAGCGACGCTTAAAAATAAAATCAAGTTACCATAGTCAATTCACTGTAATACGCTAGACGATTGTCAAAAACTTACCCAAGCCATTACGAACAGACTGTAGTTTCGTTTTTAACATTTGATCGAATCACGAATATCGAACACAGTATAGATATACGTGAAACCATAGAAACTTATTGAACAGATCTTATCTTTTTCTCTTACCGAATCTTACCTTTCTCTCGAGTAACGATAGGTCGTACATCGTTCGATCATAGTACAGCCATAATTCTTTTTTTTTTCAAAATGTCATTTTCTCAAAGCACATTTAACCTTTTGACGCACAATGGGACAATCTTCTGAGAGTTTCCAACGTACTTTCTTCTTTCGAGTCCTGCGATTCCATTCGTACCTGAACAACGAGAAAGTCATTGCCTTGAGCTTTGTATGACTTTGTGAGAACCCAGTGCAAAATTTCATAAGAAAAATTGCATTTTCACAATAAAAATCTTGTATGCAGTTTGAAAAAAAAAACTTTGAAAAAAAAAAAATTCTACCCCAATAGCACGACTACCCGACTGCATTATCTCATATTTTCGAAATCTCTCTTGAGCGAATAACTGGAAAAAGATTTTTAATATTAAAGTTACCATGAATCTGTTATATGTATGCACTTTTTCTATATACGTAAGAAAAATATCTCCTATGTATATAACAATAAGCATGTAAGAAAAATGACATCTACGCTCATCATCTATGTAAATATACTCCACGTAATACCCGCGGGACGTAATATTGTCAGAATTCGCCTAAAGGCAGATTCACATGGAGCTTTCTTGCGGATCGCATCGGCTTTTCATTCTCGGCTACTTTTACACGTATATACAGCACATACAGGGTGACATTATTCGAGCATGTCTTGAGCAGGAATTATCATGCTACTACCATGTTTCCGTTCTCTACCGTGGATTTTGCTCACCGGCCCTGAAAGTTCCGCTCTTGGAACGGAAGGCGGGTACTGGGTAACGCGATTAAATTGGATCGCTCGACCGTGTCCTTTTTATTCGACGAGATCTAGGTAGTAGTCTCTGCCGAGTCCATACTGTATCCCTTATATGTACATGGACCAAACTTCGTATACTTCCAGTTCATCGAATTCGCATCTTCGCATCTTGCCTATGGTATACGCAGTATATACGTATATATGCAAATATATATGTACAAGTAAATAGATTAAACTATAATGCAATATCGAAATGTCAACATTAACTCAATATTGGTATTCCGTGCGGATACTCGATTTTTATTACTAAAAAAAATATTTTTTTTCGATAAAAGGTAATAAATCATTTTTTGACAGCTCTCCACGTGCAGCAATTTCTCAAAGTTTGACTTTAAGTGTTTTTAATGTTAAATAAAATGTTGCGACAGTATCTTTATAGTGACCGAAGAGCAGCCGAAGTCAAATCAGCAACCGCTTGACCTTCTCCGAGTCTATTGTTCTAACCTTAACTGACAAATGAGAGCAGTCTTGCGCGTATACGGCTCAGGCCAATTCGTCGGTGCTGTCCGTTCTCCATTACAAGCCTCCTGTAAGCCGCTTAATTCGCGACAAGCACGGAATCTCGATTGCAGTGTAGCAACACGACACGGCGAGCGCGTTATCTCTCTTTTGTTTTCGGCAGTAGCGACAGTGGCGCCCTCTGCGTTGCTCAACGATCCGAAGCCAGAGGGCCAAGTCCAGCGCGCGCTATACACGCCGTAGAGAATGATTTCTCTCTGCCGAATCCCCGTGCCCTGGGCATTTAACTGCCAGGAATAAACTAGTCACCACCCATTCGTAAAAGTTCGACCCCAACCAACTTCACCGGTGGGAGCGGGGGGTTCCCCGGAATCTGTGAACGACTAGATTTTACAGCAGGGCGCAAACTCTGTCCCATTCGTTGTCCGTAGACAGGGCTGGTGTTTCCCACCAGCCAGTGCGGACGGCTTTATCGCTCGCTTGAGAAGAGAACGTATAATGTTGTCGACACGAAAATCGCTTCTAGAAACTACATCAAGAGCGACGCTTAAACCCTGCTGTTCTTTATCAGACTGTACGACAGCGATGGGAGTAATGACGACAATAAATAAGGTATTTTCACAATGTAGCGACATGGCGATTTTCTTCTAAAATTACAAATAATCGTTTCAGCGAGAATCTACCGTTAAATTCATACGGTCGCGCCTTTACGTTCTAAGTCCTCGTGTATTTTCATTGTAATCTGTCGCGGAATTCGTGCACTAATGGAACTATTATTTTACGAAATATCGATGATATAAACACGTTTCGAGATTCTAAAATAAGGTGCAACTTCATAACGCCTAAATTGGAAGGTAGCAACGTTACCGACTGAACTGACTTCAAAAAATGGTTCGAGTCCGAACTATGAAAATAATTGCTAAAAATTATTATTTATCGAAAATAATGTGTTTGTAGCGTTTATTCACGGTAAATATATATATATATATATCGAAGAAAGGAATAAATTATTTAATGCCTAATAACTATTCCAGAGTAAACGCGCTGTCGCTAAGTAGTTTCAACAAACTTCGAACTGCACCAAAGTCACATTTAATATGTAAATTCGCTTAGTGGACTGAGTCCCTTCTTGTTTAATATTATACCGGACTAATTTCCCAACTATGATGGCGCCAAGTGGATGCCAGGTGAGAAGGCATAATCTTCACTAATTTGTGAGTCAGATGGGCCTGGGTGTCAATTGGATTACTGACCTATCCCACTACAAACTCGAGAATTCCCAGCTTACATTCATAACTATGTGTATATACTAAGTCGAAGACAGAATCTGTCACGTTCGACAGTTTCAATTTGGTAGATCAACATTTTTCACATTGCTCTTGCAACTGTACCGGATATCAATTCAATCTGGTATCAACGTTTCTGTCTTCTTCGCAAAGTTCAAATCGGATATCAATTCATAACGTGACATTATCAGAAACGCGATTGTCAGTTCTATCAGTCGGATATTGAAAAAATAATCTACACGGTTATAATTATAATCATTAAACTCTCAATTATCCAGTAACAAGTATGACAAATTAACAGTACCTAGATTTCATGAAATAACTCATTCATATTGACAACTACTGAAATACAAATAAATGGTTTTGATTTTGAATTCGAATTCGTCACTTACCTAAATAAAAATCAATCATATCGAGCAAACAATAAAAAAATTTTCAATAAAGTCTAATCGATCTAGAATCTCAGAATATTTCATCTGTTATCTATTGCTGTCAAATTACATCACTTAAAATATATATATATATATATATATATATATATATATATATATATATATATATATTGTAACGTGGCGTTACAGAGCTGGAGGGGATACCATTTAGGAATGACCGAAAAATAAATAAATAGGAGTTATCAGGTCGGACAGTGGGTTCAATAGCACAGTGGTAAGTACTCGACTTGGCAGTCCGAAGGTATCGGGTTCGAATCCCGATGAGAACTCCTACTTTTTCGCAAATTCCCAGCCCTCTAGTGCTCCCTGGCGGCTTTATGGATAAAAATTACTTATAGCGGGAACGAGCCCAGCCGGGCACCCCGTTATAATATATAGACCTGTATGCAATCATAGTCCTCTATAAAAATAAATATAGATACATATCTTTCTTTCAATTACACTGGAAATAAGACCTCCGTATGATACCTATAGCAGACCCAAGTGATTAATAAAGCGTAAAATTGTTCATACTAATAAAATTGTCATTTATTAATCGAGAGTCGATTTACGATTCAAGGGATGTTATAAACGTTTCATCCCCTTAATTCGAAAATGTATACAACTCGTTAAGGGACGAAGACGATACGGCCGGGCTGGCGTCTCGACGTCGCAACATATGCACCGAGAATTTCATGGGGTGGCTATAGAGGGGGTCACAAATAAGATAATACGCGCTCACAGTGTGACAACCTATGGAAAATTACTCGGTGTATCGCGCAGGGACTCCACTTCGGTACTTATGGTTTGGTACCTGTAACCCTCTTCTAGATGGCGCGGGGATTGGAAATTCGCTAGGCGGAAATTGATGCAGGGAGTTTAAGGCGCATACACAAGGGACCGTCGTAGAATTAGTTTTGCCGCAGCGGCACGCCTGTTACTGGTTATGCGAGGTAAGGCGTCCTCTGTGGTAGCGGCTTAATGTTGCGTCACGACGTCGCTTCGTTATCCTTTAAAGGCCCTTCGTTATCTGCTATTCGA